ACGACCCTCCCCTCGCAGCCCGCCGCCTCGTTGAGCGCCTCAGGCCCGGCTCCGGCGTGCTCATGATTTTGGACTTCCTCCCCCACGAAAAGATGGACGCCTCCCATCCTGCCTCTGGCACTGTCATCCACCACGGCTTTTCCAAGGAGCAGATCCAGAAGATCTTTGAAGATGCCGGAGCAGGAGAGCATTTCGCCTTTGAAGAGCTGGCGGTTGTTTTCAACAAAGCTGCGGGGACGAGGGAGGAGATGAAGAGGAAGATTTTCATGGCCAGGGGGACGAGGAGGGCGGAGTAGAGTCATACCATGCCGGTGAGGGTCAAATCAGTGTTGGAGGACTGAACAAGATAGGATTGTAGAATGAAGTATGTTGGCTTACCTGTTCCCTTACATTGAAATGTCACTTTGTCTGCCGCAGGACCACAAATCACAAAACAAAAAAAAAGCAATTAGACGCAGTGAAACATTGTCTACCCATCACTACCTAGCCTCGGTCTAACGAATGCCGTTTTCATAACACCATCCCATGCTTCTGCGTTCTACCGGAATACAAAACATTGAACCCAATGACAGTCTGCGTCCGATAAAGCCCCACCCATACCAACGCCCTTTCTCCTGGTGCTATGCCGTCATGTCTGCGTAAAAGGACAAAGTGATTTGCGGATGAGAGTCGCCTACTCCATGACACCCTCGGCGGTGGGCAGGGGGATGGCCTTGTAAAGGCAGATGAGCGCAGAGTGGGACTCGCCGCCTCCAGCAAGGGCATCGATCTTGTCCGACGTCACCTCGGTAACCTTGTCATCGTTGAACCACCACCACTTGCCGTCCTCAGGGCCGACTTTTCCAGTCACAGGATCCTTGGGCCCGACCTTCTTGATGTACGCCGTGTAATGACCGCTGTCGGCACTGGCACCCTGATGAGTGACGACGCCGCGAAGTTCATAGATGCCAGACTGATTGGCGCCGTCGTCTTTGCGCAGCTCGGGGTCGATGAGGGAGTTGAGCTCCTTCTTGGCCGCGAGGAGCGCAGCGTCTTTCTCGGCCTCGAACTCGGCATCAGTCTTGAAACTCTCGCCCATCTCCACGTCACCGTCAGCCGACGTGGACGGCTTCTTTCCCTTCTCCTTCTTCTCCTGTTCCTTCTTCTCCTCGGGAGTCTGGTCCTCGACGGGGTTTCTCTTGCGACGCTTACGGGCCCGCTCGACATCCTCCTCCTCCTTGCGCACCTCGCGAACCTTGTCACGGACTGGAACAAGAGCCTTCCTCAAGTCGTCGGTGCAGAACTCGACCATGTCCAGCTCGTGCGGGAAGGTCACCTTGCGCATGATCTTGGCCTTCTTCTGGACGTCACGCTTCCAGAAGAAGCGCACAAAGTGAACTGTGAGGTACTTGGGTAACCGAGAGATCTTGGAGGTCTTGGTGTAGGTCACATCCCTCCCGAGAGCCTCTGATCGCTTCTCTATCTTCTCCTTGAGACCGTTGGCGAGGCCATCCCTCAAATGCGCCGTCTGGCCGTCGATATGGCAGTTGAGCTTCAAGAACTGATCCTTGGAATGGGTCGGCTCCTCGCCCGCTTCGGCAGCGGCAGCGTCGTCGCATTCGAGTGTGCTGGACAGCTCTCCGCACATGTACTTGCTGATGAACGAGGCCTCGGCGGAAGAGCCTTCCCCGCCTTCCTTGATCTGGAGCTTCTGGTTCAACTGAGACACAATTTGCGACCAGGCCTCCTCAGCGTCTTGTTGGGCGTAGCCTGGCCCCTTCTTACTCTTCTCGGCGAACTGTGGGAACGTGGTGCGAAGGGCGCTCAAAAAGCCCAGTGGTGGCATTCCTTCCTGAGTTTTGGACATATCTCTGAACAGATTCCTCAGCTGGTAGGTGATATCAGCTCCCGGCGTGGTGGTGGTGAGACCGAGCTGCGAACCACTGGGCGCGGCATTTCGGAACTCGTACTTTTCGAGCGACTCTTGAAGTTCGGGGATGGAGCGCAAAGCCTGAAGTGTCGAATTCAAATAACAGGTGTTGCCCAGGTTGATAAGGCCGGCCGGTGTGGCTCCAGCTTGCTGCGCTTGCTCCGCCTCGGTCATGTCCTCGAGGAACTTGACCTTCTCTGTTGGGCGCACGATAGCACCTCCGCCCTCTCCTGGCGTTCCCATCATCATGATAACCTGACCGGGCTTGAGGCCCAGCTTGCTCATGTCGGTATCATCCTTCAGCTGGCCACCCTTGACGAGGATCTTTTGACGGTCGGGTTCGACACCTGTGAGACTGAAGAGCTGGTACTTGAGCTCTTCGCCGGGAGCGGTAGTATCGACCTCGACATCGTACTTCTTGGGCCCGTGCTTGATAACCACTTAACATGATCTATTAGTACCTACCCAAAGGTACACACAGGAATGAGGATGGAGGAAGGGTCGTTGACTTACCGTTGACTGTCGCCATCCTGGTGGATTGCTGGCGTTTGCAAGTATGTGAGGAAAGTCTGTCCAAATTCGAATGCAGAATAGACAGCTGAAAGCTTCGAATTCTAAATCTTTTGCCCTGTAACCAAAGGCTCCCAAGGCAACCTTGAGATTCGTCACTTGGCTTGGAGGTTGTGGAGCGCGCGTGGAAGGCAAAGGAAAGGCGCGGGGTTGTCAGTGGTAACGACAGGGATTGCACCCACCGCCACAGCTGCGAAAAACAGGGGGTTGCTGGGCTGAAGAGTATTACGTAACCCAGCCAGCCGGGTGCTTGGGCTGCTACGTACCTGTGCCGCCCCGCCCTGGCCCGCCTTACCGCAGCTCTCGACAAGCAAGGAGCTTGCCAAGGATACCCAGAGCGACGACGACAGCTCCAGGAGAGCATCATCCGCCAACACCACCACCGGATCACCAGGAAACAGTTAGATTTGGAGGCATCCTGCCAATACAGGCATCATGGTGAGCTTCTCAGGACGCCCAGAGCTTCCAACATCCCAGACATCCAGAGTAGCCAAGCTGACATGCCGTATCCCCTGACAGTCGCAATCACTTCGACCGTATCTCCAGGCTGTCCGCAGCAGTCTGACCGCCGCCCTCTGCTTGTCCAACTTCGCGTCCCAAACCGCCGAAAGACACAATGTTCCCGAAGTCGAGGCCCGAACATCACCTGAGGTTCTCTTGACGCCCCTGACGATTGCGCGCAACGACAACGAGCGGGTGCTCATTGAGCCCAGCATCAACAGTATTCGTATCAGCATCAAGATCAAGCAGGCCGACGAAATTGAACACATTCTTGTCCACAAGTTTACAAGATTCTTGACGCAACGCGCCGAGTCATTCTTCATTTTGAGGAGGAAGCCCATCAAGGTATGAGGGACCGCTGGGTCAACCTAGATGCCCCCCTTCCTCGCTTTGGCTGTCTTGGGACATCTTTCCGTGACTGACGCGTGTGTCTGCATCACAGGGCTATGACATTTCATTTTTGATAACCAACTTCCACACGGAGGAAATGCTCAAGCACAAGCTGGTTGATTTCATCATCCAGTTTATGGAGGAGGTTGACAAAGAGATTTCAGAGATGAAGCTGTTTGTATGTTCCAGTTACGACTCTCTTCTATCGAGGACCACGCTAATCATTGCCATCAGTTGAATGCGCGGGCTCGTTTCGTAGCGGAATCTTTCCTCACTCCAGTACGTCAAGCCGCCCCCCTTTCCAATGTCTTGGCATACCCTGACCGCCATTGTCCAGTTCGACTGAGCGAACCCGCTTTTACACTACCTCACTTAAATTATTTTGCATGCAGTTGAACAGCTTTCCCTGATGTCACTACCCTTGTCGCTGTTATGGCTTCAGACCATCATGCTTGGCGTTTCTGGAGAAAAGAAGTTTGTAAGCGAGCCATTTCACGACTGTTACTATCCACGACACTTGTCATGGGTCCTTGCCGGTCTTTGGTCTAGAAATAAAGTCTGGGTTTAACAGAAGTCTCTCCCAATTTTCTCTGCGTTCCATCAGCCCAAACTACCTCCGTTACGCCATCCGCGGGCCGGGCCAGATGATGGCTGTGTTGATGGTCACACCACTGCGTACTTATGTTATCAGAGTTGGGTTATTGCCTCGACTCTCGGCCACCATTCAAAGCCCTCGTCATCCAAGGGTGTTGCATGTTTACCTTGTTCGGCGTGAAGTGTGGACTTGGTTGGATCCGTGACCGCCTGGCCTTTGATTCCGTCTGAAATCCCGTCCTGTGTCAAGAATTTGGCAGGCGCGTTGCCAATTCTTTTGTTCAGATCGAGGCCAAGGACGTTTCATCTGAAGAGAAATCTGGTTCTTGCAGAGCACCTGGGAGTTCTAGGTAGGGGAGATAGCTCAATCCTACTCTGCCGTTCTGGTAATTCCATTCAACAGATTTACTCCTTAAGCTCTTCAATTTTCTGTTCTCAGTTGAAACATCGATATCCCGATATCTTCGTTTCCTGCTGTTCTCTCGGAGCCAGCAAGATCATCACGCTCTCCGCCTTCTCAACCAGCTTTCGGAGTCTTCGAGGTCTTGTCACCATTCCCAACGTTCACATCCGTCTGGAGCTCAGGTAAGTCTGTTTGCTCTTGGTATTGTTCGGTTTGATATTCGCAATCCTCCCCTCTGCCGTCGATCATATCACCCTTTTCAGCCAGTGTCCAACTTGTGCCAGCCTCCCCTATTGTGTCTCGAGGACAATAGCCTCACTCGACGACAACAATTGCTGCGAAGGGCTCTTGCCCCACAGAGCAAACAATAGGTCTCCCCCATCTCAATCACCCCAAACTCCCTCGCAGGTTCTTTCGAATACCTGAGGCACCAATGAATATTTAATCTAAGCCCTGAAGAACTTCCACGCCTTTCTTTCTTCCCCCGGAAACAAAATTCTCCCCCAAGCTTGCTCTCTCCCTGCAACACTCCGAGCCACCTCATTCTCTACTATCTTCCTGGCATCCAGCAGCCCACCAACTACCCGCAACTGCCACCTCCCAAGGTATTTATTCCTGAAAACTCTGCAGACCCTTCTTTCTCTCTCCCCTTCCCACCCCACAAGTATCTCTCTCATCTTCCCATCCCACAACTTCCTCTCTCCTCTTCCCACTCCAAAACCTTTCTCTTTCTCTCAACCAAACACCTTGTGCCTCTCAGGTCGTCAATTGCCAACTCTCAAGAACTCGTCGCCACGCCGACCATCAAGGGGTACTTGTCGCCGACAACCAGGGGCTACCCGTCGTCGACTACATCTGTAAGTAAACATCTCCAGCCGCTCCTCTCCAGCCGCGAGCTCCGCTTTCCCCGGATTCATCCCCGCGAGGCGACATCATCCTTTCACATCCCCGTTAAACATCCCCGTCGACACCACATGGTTTGTTGCTCGGCGGCGACATCATTGACGGTCTACTTCTATTCCGGAAGCTCAACTCCCTTCTTCAAAGTCCGCACTCCTCCATTTCAACTCCCACTGCTCATATCTCCACTGTCCTCTTCCTTTCCCGTTCGACTTGCGACCTCAAAAGTCGCTCTTTTCACCGGCATACTCACTTTCTTTGCTTTCCTTCTTTTCCCATCAACTTGCGACCTCATGGCTCGCTTTTTTTCACCAACATTATCACATTCTTTGCTTTGCTTTATTGCTACCCATGCTCGCGCATCATGACGCCCGATTACTTGTTTGAGCACTGACATGAGAAAAGGCTACCGGAGAAAGTCCTCGGCCAAGCAACCGAAGATGAACTTCGCTGGACGTGGCCGCTTGACCGTGAGCGCCAACGGCTCTAACAAGAGTCAGTCTTCTGTCACCAGCTCTGGAAAGAGCCGTGAGCATACAGGCGGTGTGTCCCTTCATGAGCATGCTGAGGATCATGAGCAGCACACTGGTGGTGCCTCTCTTCACGAGGACACTGAGCGCACGACTGGGGCCTCTCTCGCCGACAACAAGGAACCCGAGGGCGGCGTCTCTCTCAAGCACTTCGCCAACGACGCTTCCAGTGACAAGAAGAACAGCGGTGTCAATGGGAGCGCGCGCAACGACTCTGACCAGGCGTCTTTGTCTTCAGTGAGAACTGCCAGTGCCTTTTCCCACCGCCACAAGGCTATGTCAGTCTCCGGCCAGAACATGGGCCACGACATGGAGACCATTCAGGTTTGTTTTCGTGACCGTTTGCTATCTCACAACAGCTAACAGGTCCCATCAGGAGAGCCACACCCCGGTCCGTCACGTCGGGTTGAAGTCTCCGATGGCTCCTCGTGTCTTCAATGGCTTCAGCAGAGGCACGGGACAGCGCTCTCTGCTCACTAGTCAGCACCTTGCCAGCGCGCAGCTCTGTACATCTCAACTCGGCCAGAGCACTTCTGCTCCCACTTTGCCATTTCTCGCCGTAGGACCCCCGACTCTCTTGTCTTGGTCACATCAGCTAACAATGAGCAGTCCCCACCCCAGCCTTCCATGGCCAAACCAGGTATGCCGCCCGGTGTCGTGAATGGCTCTTTCGGTATCCCTATGCCCTCTGCCTTCCTGGGATTCATTCATCATCCGATGGTGCCCGGTGGTGTTCCTCCTCCTACACCACTCGGGACGCCTTGTGGCGAGTCTTCCGCATTTTCTGCCGTTGTTGTCATTTTTTTCTTGTTCTTCTGTGCTCATGTGCTGACTGTCTTCTCCAGTCCCAGGTCTCACGAGCAATGCTGCCACGAACAATGCCGCTGCACCCCCAGCTCAGACTTCTCAGACAGGCCTCACTCCTAGCGCCAATTTTGTCCGCCCTGCCGCCCATGGAGGCCACGTTACTTATAACACCGGACCTATCTACAGCGGAATGGTTCCGCCTCCTGCTGGACTCAACAACGCCATCCCTCAGAGCCACTTCCCTGCTCACAGCAACGCTAGGCCTGTTGACGCTGGCAATGGCTCTGCTGCCTTCAAGCAGGACAACCCTCAAAGCCACCCGTCTGTTTACAACAACGTTGGACCTGTGCCTGCCGGCAATGGCTCCCAGGGCCTGTCTTCTCAGGTCAACCATCAATTCGGTCCCAACAGCGGCGCGATGCCTGCTCAAGAAAGCTACGTTGGCCGCAAGAACAATGTCAACACCCCTCATCGCGGTCATCAGGTTGGTCAGAACAACCACATGGCGAACCTCAACAACAGCAACATGGGACCTCCCCGAGGCGACAATAACCTTGCCCAGAACAACAGCACGGGTGTGCCTGGCCACAGCAATGCTGCTGCCCCAACTCCATCCAATGCCGGCACAACACTTCAGGCCTATTTCAATCCTGTCACAGGCCAGACAATGAGACTGGACGGAACCATCTGGACTCCCCATGAGTCGAAGAAGGATAGGTACGCCGATCACTCCGTTTACAATCAGTCGGAGCCGCGAAACTTTGCACCTCGTCCGATGGGCATCCCAGTCATGTTTCCACCCCCTCCCAACTTCACCTCGGGCCCTGGGTCCAGCAGTCAAATCGGCGACATCATCACCAACCAGGCATTCACTGACCCCTTCACTTCGCCGGATTCGTCTGCGAGCAACGCTGTCAACGAAGCGGCGTACTTCCTTGCCAACTCGCACGAGATTGACTACAGCGAGTTGACTGAGGCTGAGCAGGAGTTGGAAGTCCAATGGGGATTGCTTCGAGACAAGCTCTCCGAACTCCGGACTATGGGTTCCAATGCCCTGAGAAGGTTGATCAATGGTGTTAACGGGATCCCCACCACACCGGTCCTGCTCAATGTCATGAACTTTCCGTTCATTGAGAGTTCCAGTCAGTCGATGCCTGCTGTTTGGGGGGTCATCAAAATCAGCAACGTGAGTTTGCTGTCTCTTGTGTTGATGCTTTGCTTCGCCGGGCTGACATTTGTTGCAGATTCCATTCGGCACAATGCGAGCGGAGGTCATCGCTATGCTTGGCCGCAATTCGAAAATCATCACCGATGCGCAGGAGGGAGTCCATATCATTATGGAGCGTGTTACCTCGAAGACTGGGGATGCTTTCGTCGAGTTCAGCAGCATTCACGCTGCGACTCGCACCGTCGAGCGCCATCATGAGGCTATCCGCAAGCACCGCCAACCTCGCTTGGGCGATCGCCCCATCAAGATGACCATGTCTAGTCAGAAGGAGCTGATGGAGGCGCTTTTCCCCTTGTGCCGCGGCGTGAATTTCGACCATGGCTGCGTCACATTGCTCCCTGAAGACCCCGAAAACCCGTGGAACACTTTCCGCGGCTTTGTCATGGCGGAAGAGTTGAACCTTCTCATCAAGCACATCGAGGTGCCTTCTCGCTCACCTTACTCCAAGGACTGTCCCCAGCGCCCTTTTGAGTCGATGATCTCCACGCTCAAAAAGCTGCCGTGGTACGCCTCTCATCTGATCACTCTTGAACAGCGTCAGATTATCTATGATGCAACCTTCCGGCTGATCGAGTTCCTCGGTGAGCTCCTCCAGAAGGGTGATGGGACCCCTGGAAAGCATCGCCAGCAGACGGTTCTGAATGAGCAGTTATACAAGCGTCTTGTTCACGCAGCAATGCTCTGCCCCGGATTCTCTGTCCTCCAGAAGGACAACATCGCCTACCTGGCGAACATGTCCGGACCGGCCATTGCCGAATTCAACATGCCCCCCTTCTCCGAGTGCTGGGCGCACCTGTACAACTTGTGCCCTCGCCCTGGTGTCCCGGTCGACGTGCTTGAGTGGTACATCACCCTCATCCGCGAGGAGACAGTTCGCTACGTCGACACACTCCCGGCGTCGGTACAGGCTTCTATCAAGGAGCGTGCGAAGGAGGACAGTCTTTACTTCGGGTATATGTGGCACGAGATCCAGCTTCCTCAGGGCAGGGAACTCGCCGCTATGACTCTTCGGGACGTGGCTGAAAAGGAGCTGGATGCCATCAAGCGGATCCTGGACCGAGCCGCCGCTAACACCCACGCTCCCCTGGTTACCGATGCTGCTGACCAGCATCCGGGTCACTACATCGTGATCTAAAGCCGCACTTCCCCGCGGCTGGCTGCCATGAGCACTGCCGTGGGTATGTACGGCTAAGAACAGGGAACACTCCACCTTTCTGTTCTAGACGTCCTGAAGTACCATTCGCAACAACCTGGTACGACTTGGTCCTTACGGCTATCATCCATTTCTCCCTGGCGGCTGTGGCTCTTTGCATTAGCGATTGTTGGTTTGTTTATGAAATTTCCTTCACGACACGCAACGACTGCACAGAATCACGAACTTCATGAACGTAACCTTGATTCTTCCATGAAGATGGCGAGGAACGAACAATGGCCTTCAGAGCACACGGCAACCTTTCACAATGGCACATCATCATCTTCTTCTCATCAAAGATTTTGGCTTTCGGCAAAGACGGAAAGTCAGGATGTTCCCTCTTGTTTGGGGTTGGCGGTTGTTGGACAGGAGGACAGACAACACAGAGAACGGATAGGCATAGACGGGTTTTGCTTTTTTTCTTTGGCGATTCCTGTCGCGGTCGGTCTGCTCGGTCTTCTAGTTCGACATTTGTCTTTCTGATGGGAACAACCATTTTGCAGAGCTTTTCCTTTACCAAGGGTTCCAACATGGTGGAATTCTTTTCTTTCTTTCTTTTTTTTCTTTTTCTTTTTTTTCTTTTTCTTTTTTTTCTTTTTCTTTTTTTTCCAGAAAACTCACCCACAAAAACACAAAAAAAACTCGAAACACCCACAAAACAATCACCAAAAAAGTCGGAAAATTTTTGAGCATTCATATGAAAACACTTAGGCCTCTTTGGAACCCATTATCACTTGTCACAAACAGGAAAAGGTGGATTGATCACGAAACTGGAGATGCTTTTTGCGGGCTTTGGTCGGTAGAGAGTGGGAGCGGAGGAGCCTTCCTGGTGTATTTTAGACAATAAAGTCATTGGCCTATTATCTTTTTGTTTCCTGATGCATGCATGATGTGATATGATCTTGTGTGTGTTGATGATGCCCAGCAGGTAGTCCAAAACTTGTCCAAAGTAAACAGATCAATGATGATGGGATAGCGGCGCCTTTTGCAGAAATAAAGTGCCGGTGACATCCAGCCACTTCAACCTACCTCATATCACCAGGAAATCAAGTCTCAAATCTTTCATCAATGCTAATTTCTCCTCCTGTTCATCTTTTCCTCCACACCAAACAGCAGTGGCGACATCACCATGGTGACAGATTCAGGGGAAGCGGGTCCTCCAAACACAGCAGAAAAAGGAGGCAGTGCACAGACACCCAGACCCAAGCCTATGACGTTGTTTTTTGTGCCACCGGTTTATGCCGACAATTACCCGCCGCTGCACATACGGATCCACGCGTTCCATCGTGCACGGCGAAAAAAAAAAAAGGGTTCAAGAATCCCGAGGGCCCTCTTATCTTATCGCCCACTGTCAGTTGATATACTTTCTTGCGATTCACTTTCCTTTCCACACCCAGCCTACCATCCCACTGCCATCAGCATTGCCGGCCACTGTCGCTAGCCGCCGAGTTGCGCTGCCAATATCTCAATATCATTCTACGGATTTGAAGGGAGGAAAAAACAAGACGAAAGCCGAGAACCCCGCCAAAAACCACGGCAGCAAAAACCTCGACGAGCGACAGTACCAGACACCACCACAACCTTTTCAACATGGCTACGGTTACCACCACCAGGACCCTACCTGGTGGCAACCAGAAGATGGAAGCCGTGTCCGGTGCTCCTGTACAACTTCTTCAGTCCCGGGAGACCGGTGAGGTTGACCCCAGGCCAAAGCCTGGAGAAAGGCCAGCAGTCGCAAAGTCATGGGCACACTTTGTAGCTGGAGGGTAAGTGGCCTGTCGCATGCCCATGCCCAGACCCAACTAACCTCTTATCTCAGTGTCGGCGGCATGACAGCAGCAACCCTCACAGCCCCCCTCGACGTCCTCAAAACCCGCCTCCAATCCGACTTTTACCAAGCCCAGCTCAAGGCCTCCCGCGCCGCCCACGTCGGCCCCATGAACCCCCTCCGCACGGCAGTCTACCACTTCAACGAAACCGCCTCGATCCTCGCGGCCGTGTACAAGGTAGAAGGCCCGCGCGCCTTGTTCAAGGGTCTCGGCCCCAACCTCGTCGGCGTCGTCCCTGCCCGCGCGATCAACTTCTTTACATACGGCAACAGTAAACGTTTGTTGGCTCAATGGTTCAATGATGGGAAAGACGACTCGACATACATCCACCTCTCCTCGGCCATCATAGCCGGTGTGGTAACGAGCACGGCGACGAACCCGATCTGGATGGTCAAGACGAGATTGCAGCTTGACAAGAACCTCGCGGCTGAGGGCGGGATCGCGACGAGGCAGTACAAGAACAGTTTGGACTGCATCAAGCAGGTGCTGAGGAATGAGGGCATTTACGGGCTCTACAAGGGCATGAGCGCGAGTTATCTGGGCGTGGCCGAGTCGACCCTGCAGTGGGTGCTGTACGAGCGGGCGAAGAAGAGTCTGGCGAGGAGGGAGGAGAGGTTGGTGATTAGCGGGAAGGAGAGGACGTGGTGGGATACGACGGTGAGCTGGATGGGGAATGCGAGCGCGGCGGGAGGGGCGAAGTTGATTGCGGCCATTTTGACTTACCCTCATGAGGTGAGTTTTGTTACTGTCCATTTTTTTTTGGGAGGGTTCTCGAACGCTGACGAGATGGTAATAGGTTGCCCGGACAAGACTCCGTCAAGCGCCCATGGCGGACGGCAGACCAAAGTATACCGGCCTGGTTCAGTGCTTCAAGCTTGTGGCCAAGGAGGAGGGCATGGTCGGTCTCTATGGAGGCATGACGCCGCACCTGCTCAGGACCGTCCCAAGTGCGGCCATCATGTTTGGCATGTACGAGGGCATCCTGAGACTGCTGCAACCTTCGCATCATGAGCCATGAGGATGACGACCGGGTCGAAAACGATGACGGCTGTACGGTCATAACTCTACGATGTGACCGACCCAGGCGCATATACCGACCTCCTCTCCTTACACCTCTGCACCACCAACAATCGATACCCCACCTTTCTTTCAGCGACGTATTATTACGGAGAACATATGCTTTGGCGAGCGATTGGCGTATATAGGAGACACGGGGAACGACGGGAGACTGTGGGGGCGGGGGCGTGTTAATCCTCTTTTCGTACATTGGAAAGACTGGATGGGGCGGCAACAGCATGGGATGGTTCAAGAAGGCAAGCATGGCATCCGGCGTTTAGGTTGGGCTTCTGTTGGGTGGTTTTTATTTTTGGGTATATATGGGATGATGCGAGTAGGTTTGGCAACGGGATGATTACCCCTCTCACAGTTACTCTTTGTTGCTTGTAATGATACAAGGGAGGGATTAAATGTACGATACCTACGTCAGGGCGCATGATGCATGAAGGGAAAAACGGGGGGAGGATGTATGCATTCAGCAGGGGAGGAAAGCTGGGGTTCTCAAATGGGTGGAAAAGAAAAGGAACGGAAAATTCACGGAAAGGACAAAAAGGTAAAACAGGATCCCTGCTCTTGAAAAAAGACAAATAAATCCAATATAAACATGGCAAATCAAGCCAAATTCACACTGAGCCGGAGTTCACGAGATAGTAAACTGTGATAGGGAAACTGGGAGGTGGAAAAACGGGATATCTCGAATTCAATGAAACCAAATAAAAGTCCAAAAGCTAAACCCTCAAGACACTCTCTCCTTGGCTTCCATTCTCCTCCGCTGGCAGTGAATCGACATGAAAGGAAACAAAACAAAACAAAACAAAACAAAACAGTACAACTGATGCAACAAACAACATTACTCGCCTCCTTTTTGGAAAAAATGACCAACCAAGCCCGCACACCATCATAACCCCGTCATGCTTTCTAATCATCCAACTTATACGACTCTGGAAACATCCCTTTAGGTGGTTTCTTTTGCAGCTTTTTCGGTCTCGTCTGCACAGAGAGTGATGGCTGCGGTGGCGCCGACACCGACCTGCTGATGTCCGTTGCCGCCCTCTCCCTCCCGCCAGACCACAACCGCGAAATAGCCCTCCCCGTCGTCGAAAAGCTGCTGCCGTTCGTAGAAACCGAAGCCGTCGTCTGATCCAATGTCGTTGCCGTCGTCGTGGTCGTGGTCGTGGTCGTGGTCGTGGTCGTATTGGTAGTGGCAGTAGAACCCGAGTCAGTCCTCACCAGCTGCCCCGTGACCTCTCGTCACCAGGCGTTTCTATCCCAGTTTGGATCTGTCTCCCATGTTCAGCAACCTCCGTTTTCATGATAGACCCAAGAAAGAGAGCCAACCTACCCTGCACGAACCCGGCCAGAACCTTGCTCCCCGTCTGCAACAGCGGATGCCCAACCACAATCTTGAGAAACTTCTCCAGCCCGGCCCTCCTGCCCTCAATCACATCATCGCTGAACCTGTTCGTAAACACCTTCCCCGGCAGCGGCGGGATCGTAACCCTCGCGCTCTCCCTCTCGAGGATATCCCGAAAGTACTCAAAGTCGCTGTATCTCCTCCGGACCGTCGACTGCCTCAGCTTAAAAGCAGGGATGTTGGTCCGGCAGACGATCTCGTAGTCGGTGTACATGTGCCTACCGATACCGTGGGTGCGGGGGTTGCGGACTTCGATCTCGAGAAAGTTCTCGGGGGGACCGTAGATCTCGTCAAAGGACTGGGTGCGGGTGTCGGGGAGGGATTGCATGATGGGTCGGTGGAGGCGGGCGGCGGCGGCGAGGGCTTCGGATTGGGAGCCTGTGGGGGAGGTGGGGGATTTGGGAGGCTGGCTTTCGGTGTTGCCAGCCTCGGTGGGAGAGTTGGAAGCCAGGTTGGGCGAGTCAGTGGGAAAGCTCCCTTGTTGAAGGGGAGCTTGTGGCTAGCTGTGAGGGGGGGGGGGGGGGGGGTTGGTGTGGTTTGGGTGAGGGGTTGCAGATGCGCGCGAAAACAAGGCCGAAGCTGCGCGCGGTGGTTAGATGCTTCTGGGAGAGCAAGTCAGAGCTGTGCGGTGTTGACCGGTGGTGGTGTAAATGTTGGCGCAAACCGGATCAGAAAAGTTGGTGGTGGAGGAGGGTTGAGGTCGAAGCGGTGATGTGATGCAAGTGAGCGAGAGCTCGCTCCTCATGCTCGTAAAGTGGTCAGCCAAGCCAAGCCAAGCTCGCAAGGAACGGGCCATGGAAGGTGGGGTAATTCCCGCCGCTCGACGATCTCGGGTCCGGGATCTGGGCCCATGTTTGCCATGTCACACCCTATCTACCAGTGAATATCTCACTATACAGATATTAGTGACTTGGTTATTGTCTGCAGTGGCAGTTCAAAGCACGCGCTTGCTCTCAACATGTCAACAAGAAACACGTCACAGACCACAAAACGCCAAGTACGGAATGGGGCCATGCGGAACGGCTTTTGTGATTGCCAATAGTTGTCCCCGAAAGCGCCCAGAACTCCTTCCCATAAGCGCAGGTATAAATCCTCATGAATACAATACACACTCCTATGCGTTTCCCTGATGGCTGTGTAAAAGTACTGTTCAAGCCAGCCTACTCTTTTTGGCATCCGAAACTCGACCAACCAGTTCGACAAATCTTTCTCATCCAAAGCCCCTCCGCCCTCAACCTCTTGTGCCCAAGCCATACCTATTTGTCCGCAAATTTCTGGTGAATAGCCCGAATCTGCTCGTCAAGGTTGAAGTTCTGCATCTGGTTCACATGGGCGGTTTCTGGGTTGCCGTCGAACGAGTGCAGTGCAATCTTCTTTCTCCGTGCCTGCTCCTCCTCCGACAGTGCCTGGCCAGTGGCATTGTCAAACAGGTCACTGCGTTGACTGGCCAAGCGCTTGAGATTATTGGCCACGTCCACCGTGCTAAGGTTGGTGGTGGCATACCGGGCCTCTGCCTTGGCCTTTTGCTCTTTCCACCGTGGATCGAGGAGTTCAACTACCAGATGTGTTAGTACCTGCTGAAAAACAAAGATAACATGGATCAGATGCTCACTTCTCATATGATCATCCATCTCGTTGAGCGGAATCTGCTGCTTGCAGTTGGGGCATATGGCCGTCTGGGCGCCGATTTTGTTTGCTGCCCTCTGAGCCGCCCGTGGAACGTAATTCTCCTTGATCTTCATGGGCGCGGCGCCACCGCGGGCTTCGGTCTGTGCCTGTTGCATGCGTAGCCTTTCTTGCTCTCTTTCTCGAATTCTCTGTACCTCATGTTCCTCCTCTGCAGACCTGGATCCTCCAACTGGTTCAGATGAGCCATACGATGGAGGTGGCGGGGTATTGGCAGCCGGATAGGCAGGCGTTTGGTGAGTTGGTTGCGGCACTGCGGCCGGGGCCTGCACGCCATATACCTGCGGAGGATAAGCGTTGTAGCTGGTGTCCTCGAATGGGAACGCTTCCTCGATGCGGAGACTGGAGCTGATCGACATCTTGTTCTTCTCTTCCAAAGAAGCATACTGGAGATCGTTGAGAGTCGTCGGGGCCGGAAGGGATGCCTGGTCATCGGCTTCGGTAAAAGTGATGGTCTCAACCACGACAAAGTCGTTCCAGTCGATCCGCGCAAGCTCCTCCTTCTTTTGTTCCTCCTGTTCCTCCTTCTTCGCCTTCTCAGCCTCGGCCCATTTGGCATATTCCGCCCTCTGCTTGGCGCGCGCGAGCACATGGTATTTGTCGGTAGCACTGCGGCGAAGTTCTTCAACACGGGCTTGGTGCAGCTTGGTGCCTTCGCCATTGACGCCGCTCTCGCGTAGGAGAATTGAATACTGATCGATGAGGCTCTGGAAGAAGTTGTGGAAAGTGTGGTTGGGAGCCAGGAACTGGAACTGAGGGTTGCCATGCTCACGCTGCGCAAGCTGTGTCATAAAAGGGCGCCCGTTCTTTGCGACGAACAAGGCAGTTAGTCGCACAATCTCCAAATCTTTCTGGCTCATTCGAGGCATACGGGCTGAGAACTGGAAGTCGGGAGGCTTCTGAGGCCCCTTTGGCTCTTCCTTCGCTGGCGCAGCATTCTCTCCGACGCGACCAGCCGCCACCGCGGTACCACGGCCGGCCTTGATCTCCTCTTTCCTCCATTCGTAGTAGGCGTTGTACGGGTCGTCATGCTTCATCAAAAAGCTAAACTTTGGGTTTTTGCCGTGGTTCTCGCGGATGCGCTGTTCGAGGCCAAGGCCACCGCGCATGACATAGCCAGCCGTCTTCTCGATCGCTTCGCGGATTTCACCCGGTGGTGGGATGATAACTCCTGGCGGCGGCTTGAGATTCTCAAGCGCCGCGGCCGCCGATGCAGCCGAGTCTCCGTTTGCAACGGCCATTTTGATGCAGGTATTTGCAGAATCGATGTGGTGGTTGGAATGATGAAGAGTAAGAGTTCGCCTATCGAAATTCCTGAACACTGCCAATTGCTATCGGCGCGCGGCAGAGCGCGGGTGGGTTGCGATCAAATGGTCCGTGCGCACATTTGGTACTGTACTTTTGACCATCTCAGGGATCATCACATCTTCACATGCAACCTTGACTTTTGATTCACTTCCTTCTTGAGACTTGAACATCTTGCCAGATAAGAGAAGGTCAATCCGTCAGGTTCCCCTCACATATCGATGCCAATTTTCTCCATTGCCTGCCCTGACATGTTCCCTTTCAATACGAATACACACGCAGGGAGAGTGGCTGTGACGCGTCGAAAAATAACTAGTTGGTCCCCAGGGAACGGTGCTAGGCTCTTGCGAGGTTACTTGTGGCCCGTGTTCCGTGCTGTCTGGGGAATGTCAGCCAATAACAACACGCTACGCCCGTTTTTAACCCAACAGGGGGTTGAGGCCACTTAAGCTACATTGAAATAATTATGGGATGCTTGTCGGCACGCAGCTTCATCACTGGCGACTGCAACCCCCTTTCCATCTCTTCAGCCTTTTCCGAGGTCAAGTCAGCTACTGAAGACTGACCAAGTCTTTTCTTCTTCTTCTTCTCGTCCAACTTTTTCTTGCTCTGGACGTGGCCGAGTGCTCTTCACTCGACACTTTTTTTTTCTTGTTCGGAATTCAGCATCCAATGACAGCCTTGTAATGAAACCTTGACCTTCTCGACTCTCGTTAACTCCCAGTTCCCGGATTGACCAACAACGATCCTGGCGGCTGAATTATCACACCGTCAACAACACCCCCCGACCCCGATAAGAACTACGATTTCTAGCTAGACATCGTCCTCTCCACCATCGACAATGGCTCGATCGGCAGCCGCAAAAGTGGCATCCGGCCGGGTATCCCCTCCCCTGCCACCGAACCCAGCACCTACCCAACCCATCCCAGGCACCATCTCGACAAGCTCGAAGAACAAGAACAAGGGAGCTTCGAAGCGCCCCAACGACTACACGTCCGAGGGCGTGGCCGATAACGATGTTTTCCTGCTCCCAGGCTCCGATTACCAGCTCTTGCTTGGTATCACCTTCCTGGCCGCTGCGGTGCGCCTGTTCCGCATCTATCAGCCCACCAGCGTCGTCTTCGATGAGGTCCAGTACGTTTACCACCGATGCCTGCCCAAACTCTCAACATAGAGCTAACCATGTGGTCGTTACAGCTTCGGCGGCTTCGCTTCCAAGTATATCAAGGGCAAGTTCTTCATGGACGTCCACCCTCCTCTGGCAAAATTGATGATCACCCTCTTCGGTTACCTCGCTGGCTTTGATGGAAACTTCGACTTCAAGGAGATTGGCAAGGACTACCTTGAGCCTGGTGTTCCTTATGTCGCCATGCGCTTGTTCCCTGCTATCTGCGGTATTCTTCTGGCTCCTACCATGTTCCTCACGCTCAAGGCTGCCGGTTGCCGCACCTTCATCGCCGCCATGGGTGCTTGCTTGATCATTTTTGGTGGGTACCCTCCTCCTTGGATATGGATGTGGCTACGGACTGGCGGTGGACTGACACTGGGTTGTTACAGAGAACGGTCTGCTTACCCAGGCACGCCTTATCTTGCTTGACTCCCCCCTGATGATTGCTACGGCTTTCACCGCGCTTGCTTTCACCTCCTTCACCAACCAGCAGGAGCTCGGCCCCTCTAGAGCTTTCTCCCCAAGTTGGTGGTTCTGGCTTGTCATGACCGGTCTTGGTCTCGGCATGACTGTCAGCATCAAGTGGGTGGGCCTGTTCACGATTGCCTGGGTTGGCGGCTTGACCTTGGTCCAGCTCTGGGTTCTGTGGGGTGATCACAAAAACGTCACTATTAGCACCTTCTCCAAGCACTTCTTGGCCCGTGCTTTCTGCTTGATTGCCATTCCCGTGGCCTTTTACATGGCCATGTTCGGTATCCACTTCCTCTGCCTGGTGAACCCTGGCGAGGGTGATGGCTTCATGAGCTCCGAGTTCCAGTCTACCCTCAACTCCAAGGGCATGCAGGATGTCCCTGCCGATGTTCTTATGGGCAGCAAGGTCTCCATCAGGCACGTCAACACCCAGGGCGGCTATCTTCACTCGCACCCGCTCATGTATCCCACCGGATCCAAGCAGCAGCAGATCACTCTCTACCCTCACAAGGACGACAACAACCTTTGGTTCCTCGAGAACCAGACCCAGCCTCTTGGCGCTGACGGTCTGCCTATCAACGGTACCAACGCGTGGAACAACCTTGAGGAGACTCCCTACATCAAGAACGGTGCCATCATTCGTGTCTACCATGTTCCCACTCACCGCCGCCTTCACTCTCACGATGTTCGCCCCCCTGTTACCGAAGCTGAGTGGCAGAACGAGGTGTCTGCTTATGGTTATGAGGGATTCGATGGAGACGCCAATGACTTTTTCCGTGTCGAAATTGTCAAGAAGAAGTCCAAAGCCGGTGTTGCTCAGGAGCGCCTTCGCACCATTGACACCAAGTTCAGACTTGTCCACGTCATGACCGGCTGCGTCCTGTTCTCGCACAAGGTCAAGCTCCCCGCGTGGGCCTCTGAACAGCAAGAGGTTACCTGCGCTCGTGGTGGCACTCTTCCTAACAGTCTCTGGTACATTGAGTCCAACGAGCACGCCAAGCTTGGTCCCGACGCCGAGAAGGTCAACTATGCCAATCCTGGCTTCTTGGGCAAGTTCTGGGAGCTCCAGAAGGTTATGTGGAAGACCAACGCTGGACTTGTCGAATCCCACGCGTGGGACTCCCGCCCAGACTCCTGGCCCATCCTCCGCCGTGGTATCAACTTCTGGGGCAGAAACCACCGCCAGATCTACCTCATTGGCAACCCCATTGTTTGGTGGAGCGCCACAGCTGCCGTCGTTATCTACATCTTGTTCAAGGGAATCGCTGTTCTCCGCTGGCAGCGTAGCTTCAATGATTACGCCGACCCGGTTTTCAAGCGCTTTGATTACGAGATTGGCACGTCTGTGCTCGGCTGGGCTCTTCATTACTTCCCGTTCTATCTGATGCAGCGCCAGCTGTTCCTCCACCACTACTTCCCCGCTCTCTACTTCTCCGTCATTGCTTTCTGCCAGATCTTCGACTTTGTTGTTGCGCGGATTTCGGCTCTTGGCTTGAAGAAGAACCCTCTTATCGGCAAGGCCGGTGCTCTCCTTTTCCTGCTTATCTCGGCCGCCGCCTTCACCTTGCTTTCTCCTCTTGCTTACGGCAACGCCTGGACCAAGGCCGAGTGCAAGCGTGTCAAGCTTTTCAACACCTGGGACTGGGATTGCAATACCTTCCTAGATAGCGTAAGTGCATCGATCCCCGAGGTGAAGTTGCCCGTCAGGGGGAAATGAAGGCTTTCTGTGGAAGGAACGAGCAAGTATTTGGGTTCGGTGGATATGGAGGCATGATTCATGAGCACATAGAAGAATGGCACATGCCAGATTGTTTTGTGACCGAGACGTGGTGCTAACATCTGTGTTGACGTAGTATGAGGCCTATGACCAGCTCGCCAACTCACCTGCGGCGGCTTCGCCCACTTCCACAAGCAAGCCGTCGGTGAAGGTCCAGGCCCCAGCCCCTGCTGAGAACCCGGTGGCTGCTGGCGAACAGGCCAAGGCCCCCGCCGTGGAGCAGCCAAAGGAGAAGGTTTCGGGAGCCCCGGCGGCTGGTGAACAGCGTGTTGTCCACACCGAGGAGCGTGTTGAGTACAGAGACCAGGATGGTAACTTGCTGGACATGGAGCAAGTTAAGGCCCTGGAGGGCAAGGTCGAGTTCAAGACCCGGTACGAGACTCGCACTCGCATCATTGATGCTGCCGGCAACGAAGTTTTCGTCGGCGCTCAGGAGGGCGCGCCGGTTCCTGTGGCGCCTCCACACCCGGATGTTGAGGGTAGGTGGACCAATGCGCCATTTTCCCAAAGAGTGAACCACTAACATGCATGACTTCTCAGGTGTCGACCGTGAGACTCCCAAAAACTTGGTTCCTGACGAATCCATCCCGGCTGCTGAGAAGAGCGTCGAGGGCGAGAAGGAGGCCGAGGGTAAGGTCCCCAAACCCGCTAGCGAGAGCAAGGAGAAGACCGCCAAGGAGGAGTTGTAAGAGAAGTGAGAATACGATGACGCATCCGATGATGCGTACGAGACGACCGCAAACCCAAACACACCTTGGCCCACCCAACACCTACTTCACTTAATGTCTCGTTGTACCACCACCATACACACTAATGACAGAAGGGAGGGCATACACCAAGGACTTTTCACATTGGGACGGAACGGTTTGGGTGGAGTCTGGCGGGATAAAGAACGCAAAAAAAGCAGTCGTTTTTTTTTTTTGGGAAATTTATAGGGGGGTATGGGGAGGGGAAGGAAAGGAGGAGTTCTTCGTTACCATGTTGCTGTCATTGTTGTGATATGATGGCATTTATGGTTGTCATTTGTCAACATTGCGAAAAAGTCGAACGCGGTGAGGTATGCCAGAGCTACTACCTATCTGGTGAACTCACACCACACTCTCACACACACTCACTCACTCACTCATCAGAGGGGTACCTGTTTTCACTTTTTGTAGGGCCCACTAGAAGTTATTTCCTTGTGTTGAACCAAATCCGTTGTTATGTGCTTGAGATGTTCACACTGTCTTGTGGACCCTGCTGTTCCCGTCCTCAGGGCACTTTTGAGGTTCACCCAACCCAGCCGAGTCAACGCCACGCCCCCCTTTTTCCACCATACTAGAGGAGCCACAACCAGAGAACACAGCCAGACCACAACCAGACCACGGTTTTATCAATCAGCTTTCTCGAACGTGTTTCCGTGGTGCGGTAGTACAGCGGTTAGTGCATTCCCGAGTTTGAGCGAAGAACCCAGGTTCGACTCCTGGCCCCTCGCCACACAGCGTTTGTGATTTTCAGCGTTTTGCTTTCTTTTTGGCTTTTTTCTGCCTCCCTTTTTCTCTCAGGGCTGAACACCACGTCGAGCGAGGCAAAGGCAAAAATGAAGCTGGTTAAATTTTGGCATGCCTTGTGTCGGGCGGTAGGCTAAACTGGTAGAAACGAATGTGAGTAAGAAAGACAAGAAAGAGGCACCGACAAGGATAGCCAGAGAGACAGATGGTACGAAATTCCGGCTCTGGCTTGTCAGAATTCAACGAGAGTATGGCAAGTCCATGAGAAAAGGCAGAAGTGACGAAGAAGAAGATCTGAAAAGGGAATTAAACACAATTCCAAAAGGCTACCCACCCACCCGCCCATCGCCATTTCCAAAATCGGATCCCGATTTATATCCAAAAAAGAAAAAAAAAGAAAAAAAGAAAAAAAAGGAAAAAAAAACCCCACCATATCCCACCACCCTTCAGCAACGCACACTTATCCCCTTTCACTAGGAAACACTATCCTTGAAATACTCCTCCAACGCCGCCAAGCTGCCCGGGTGCACCCTCCCCACCTTCATCACCCTGAGGTGGTCCTCGACAGTGTATATCCTCCCGCAATCCAATCTCGCAACCGGGCTGATATACGTCTCCTGATCCTCGATTATCACCCCGATGGGCTTCCGGGTGATGTTCTCCTCTTCGTACGGCTTCGCAGGTACGACATTGCTGTTGTGCAAGACCACAAAATCTACATCCCGACCTCTGCATGTCTTGTTGGTGGCTGACTTGTTGGCTCCTGCGTATGTGGTGATGGAGAAACAGAGTGAGTGGTGGAGGCGGCGCCGGACGACGACGAACCAGCGGTATTTGGCCAGCGGTTTCTCACCGTGGAATTCGGGGCATTTCGTAGAGTACTCGAGGTTCGGGGGGTTGGCTGAAGGGAAGGGGTCATTGGGGGAAGGGTCGGTGGAGCCGAGAGGTTCGAACCAGGGGACTTTGAAGATGCGGCCGACGGCGAAGAAGCGTTTGGGTTTGGTGACTACTTGGAAGCCTGGAGGGAAGCGTTAGATTGTTGGAAAACAAAAGGGGCGAGAGGTACGCACGAGGGTCTAAGGGCTGCTCCCATTTGTGTTTGGTTGCGGCTTCGGGTCCGGTCGAGTTCTGTCTACTTCCAGCTGGTGATCCGGGTTTTGTTGGACTGGGTGGTGATGTAGCATCTGGGTCGGGGGGTTTCTGGAAGTTGGTGTAATGGAGTGTTTTGCCGTCTGTGATATTTTAGTGATCATTGCTTGGTGAAATGTGAGGAGAAGTCTCACTTTCATCGGTACGGATGTAATCTTGGTCCTTTTCGCTCCATGTCCACTGATCGCCGTAGTCCACACTATCTTCTTGACTCTGAGAGTCTACCGTGGCCCCGGCGTTCTTTTTGTCTTCCTCGGTCGCATCCTTCGACTTTGAACCAGTTGTTTTCACAGGCTTTGTCTCAGCCTTGGTCGCTTGACTGTTCGTACTCTTGACTTCCTGAGCAGCCGAGACTTCGGTTTTGGTAGGACCGCTTCTACCCTTGGCTCCGTTGGAGCTGATCTCCGTGTGCCTTGCAACAATTTCAACCGGCTTCGCAATGTCCACCGCAGGTATAACAATTGCCTCCGGGTTATTCACTAATGTTCAGAGATCAGTCTCAATGATCATGCAGACAGAGCAGTGTATACGTACCTAGATCCTCACCCAACGTAAAAAAACCAAACTCAGGAACATGTGGTGGTCTCTGCCCCATCGCTGCGACAGTCATTGTCTGGACGATATGGGCTCAAGATGTACATAAACCAGGACTACCTCCTCTTCTCGACGTTGTCAAGTATGTGCGGAGCTGTGATGTAAAATGTCGATATAATGTATGATGGGACTAAAGCCCTCGTGTAGGGCCAAACCTCCACATGGGGTGAAGCCTGAGCAGCTAGGAGAGGTTCATGGGACGGAATAGGGGGTTCTGATCGTGCTTTTCAGTCCGTCCAGCTTGGTGTTGTACAACAGCCCGATCTAGTATCTCAAGCAACCGTAATGAACCAAGGTCCAGTCGGGAGTACAGACGATCGTGGCAGGCTCCGAAAGGAAGAAAATAATGGTTCAAGAGAACCAGAAGGCAAGGCTGCGGGCCAAGTGCCGAAGTGGGCGGGAAAATGCAGGTTCGGGTGGAATGACAAGCCAAATTTCCATGTGCTGTTTAGGGAGGCTGCAGCGTTAGCCGTTAACGGTTGGGGAGACAATTCCATATAAACCGGGCAATGTAGAAACTGAGCAGCAAACATGCAGAAGCGTGAGCATGCTTAGGGAGAGGCTCAGTATATTCCCCCACAGGTAGGTACTTTTTGTGCGACTTGCAGTCCTATCTGCCTAGAGCGAAGCCTGAGGCAGGTGCACCTCGGAGTTTTGTAGTTGGTGTCGCGACGGCAGCAGGTGGGGGGTGTCATTTGATATGAAAAAGCAACGAAGCTTACGCCGCCGTTGCGCAAGATGCTATGCTTTGACGCCGACCACTGATTGGAATTTGGAGCATTCAATTCAGCTGCGGCCATGGCCCCTTGTCGTCAACCTCGCCTCCCGTGTCCCCTTCTCTCGACACCCCCTACCTGAGGTCGCCAGCTCATGCAGCTTCAACACTTGGAAGGGGCGTTCTACGTATTGCTGCCCAAGCTTGTGTGCCCCACGATCAACACCTGCTTGGTAACCTCGACGTTGCGCAGCCTCGTCGATGGATGTGGCACATATTCCAATTGCCTGTTTGGGACACCTCAAATCGGCCAAGGCCCCCTCACCATGGACCAGGCTGCTCCTTACCACCACCAACTTGCAAGAAGTTCGGCCGTTCATAGGACAAAAAAGAACTGCACATATGCTTCAGTTCAGACGTTTCCTTGGTCTTACCGCATATCAGTCATGGCAACATTTGACCTTCAGCCATACCTGGGCGGCGATTTCCATATCTGACTTCAATTACACAATTCCATTTTCAGGAGTGGTCTTGGCCAAACTTCCCGAGATAACTCCAGAATTTCCACATCGTGTTGGTAACATCATGATGTGGAAAACACGAACGATCTTTGCCAGCCGTCTCACCCTCATACCTGATACACTCATCTTGTAGGTCCCCGAGAGGCGCTGACTGGTGAAGCGTGGACCATACAACACGCAGGAGAGCGGTCCTTTATTCATCACAACCTGTCACCGTCTCAGATTACAACCTCGGTCAGCCTCGTCAAGCCCGTCATTTCTCTTATCGTACTGATTCATATAACCCCCCTGACGAATTCAAGACCCCGGATTCTCTTCTCCTCAACACCTCTGTTCATCTTTTGGAATTTTCAGCTACTTCAAATACATCCAGGTTCTCTATTAATTTCTACGCCTCAGATCCGAGGAACATTTCCTTCCCCACCGTAAGGCACGAGGACCAGCACCCCTCTCGATAGCGGCCCAAGCCTTCATGAGGTAACAACGACCTGATGTCAAATCCATTCTCTCCCGAAAGCCTGCCCATGATGCTACCCCAATGTGCATTTTCCATTGCAACCGTGCACATTACACTTCCCTCCTAAGCCACCCACCGCCAAGGTTCTCAACACTTTTCACGCCCGCCAAGAAGCCATATCCAGATTTCCAGACTTGGACTGCGATGATCTGCATCCGATCGGATACCAGCACGCCCCATTAACGGGCCGGGACCGGACGCCGGGCACACTGGCTGACCCCTAGGTTGGCGCCACTGCGGCCCGAGAGGATCAGGGGGTGATGCCACGCTTTTGATGAGGTCCGTACTTGACCGGTGAAAGATGCATGGGAGACGGATGGGGTGTCGTGTGACCTGCTACTCAGCTCAGCCAGCCCCTTACACCTAACCATACTGAGGGCTCACCGCCGTTTGATGTTCATGCTCGGACCTCGAGTTCATCAAAACCATGCCTATTGACCAAGGATTTTGTTATACAACTGGCTACCTGCCCAAACTCGGAATATTTCCTTCCCACCTAACCCATCCAAAGCACTGGTGTCGGATGTACCCAGACAGATTTGCCTCCCATCCTTGTTATATGCCACCCTGCCTACATAGCCCGGTAAACCTATATGCCAATTCATTACCATTATATCCTCAGCTCCCCCCCTTTTTCTTCTAGACTCGCACATCTCACTGCTGCTGCTGCTGATTACTCTGCGGATAACTCCCCATAACCTCCTGAGGGGGATCGGCCTCCCTCTGCGCACTCATCTCCGCCGCGTTATGATACTGCTGGCCCTGCCACGGATTCTGTCCCTGCGGCTGGCCCTGCCATTGCTGGCCCCCTTGCTGCACGTACGGGGCACCATATTGCTGCTGCGGCGGGAACCCTCCCTGTGGTTGCTGGTTGTAATACTGCCCTTGATTCTGCTGATAACCACCACCGTAAAACTGATTCTGACCATGATGCTGTCCCTCATCTGCCTCGGCAATAGGCGCCGGGTACCCGCCTGGTCCAGCACCCACTCCCGGGGAAGGCGTGCTCTGAGGGTGGGTGTTGAATGGGTTTTGTCCACCGCTCAGAGATGACAGCTCGGATGCGTGGCCGTTGGTTGTGCTGGAAGCTCCGGTGTTTTGCGCCATGAGAGCGGAGGGGGAGGAGATGGATGTGTTGACGCTGTGGCGGGAGGGGTCTGTTCCCGGGGGTATGGCACCAGCGGCGATGTATTGGTTGGGAGAGGGGTAGCCGTTTTGGAACTGGGCCGGCGGGGGGTATTGGCCTTGTGGTGGTGGTGGTTGTTGCTGACCTGGCATGGGCTGGAATTGGCCGTTAGGGAACTGTTGAGGTTGCCCGGGTTGGGGTTGGGTTTGTGCCATTTGCTGCTGGGGGACTGTTTGAGCTGCTGCCGCTGCTGCGGAATTGGGGTCGGCGGGCTGCCGGGCCTCGAGCTGCTTGTTCTTTTTGCGTTGACGCCAGAGGCAAAAGGCGAGACCACCGATGAGGATGGCAGCTACGCCTGCACCGGCACCGATGCCAGCTTTGGCTGCTACCGAGAGGCCGCCAGAGCTTTGTTCCACAACCGGATAACGCATAGACCAGACAATGTTGACGACCGCCGAGGTCTCCCGGTCGGTCTTGGTTTCCTTGCCCCTTTCCACCGTGAGGGTAGGGGGTCGGGTAGTTCCAGCTTTGATAGAAGACCAGCAGGGCGTCTGGCCACCCACCGCTGAGGTGAATGGTACGAAGCCGTTGGGGCAGCAGCCGCCATCCACAGAATAGTAATCCTCAGCGCATGTTTGGAGTCTGGCTTGCTTTGCGTCGACAGGAATGGGGTAGTCGAAGCCAAGCTTCTCCAGCTCTGCCGCGTTGGATCCGGACACCGCCGAGGCAACTGCTGCGGCGGCGGTCTCGACGGGCCAAGGACAGCAATCAGGGCGGTCTTTGATGCAGCCGAGGAAGCCAGCGTAATATGCGGTATTCCCAGCGTCTACGAGAGTGAAGCTGGCTTGACCACATTCTTCCTTGAGGAGAGCACCTGTGCCTTGGAATTTGGGCTGTCCGTCATAGGCGGGAGTGTTGATACGAGTGCTGACAGTAACGACGTTGACGGTTCTGCGATTTCAAGTCAGTTTCTAACTTTGAAGTGGAACCTAGACCAAACACAATGCTTACTGTAACGCGAGAGACACAGAAGTCCTGAAGATCAAAGAGTTAGTCAACCTTGCTTTTCACACATGGCACCCCGTCCCACTCACGGTATGTTAGGTTGTTGCTGGCCCTGGGGGCCGCCAATGATGTTGCCGCATGTTGATCCGAGGGCTGAGGCGTATAGATCATTCCAGCCGTCATACAAACTGGAGCAGGTTCCAGTCGCGATTCTAGTATACCAGCAGTTCCAGTAGGCTTGTCCATGGGTGCAGACACATGACTGAACAGCGGAGTCGACGGCACTGTTGTAGGCAAGTCCATTCTCCGGCCCTCCTCCGGCTGTCACGAAGTCGAAGTCACTGTAGCATTCTGACAGATGGGTCGTGCAGGAGTAAACGTTTGATCCGTAATTCTAGTATGACAGGGAGGTCAGTAAAGGACAGCCCAGCTTGTGCTGCTCGGTCTCGACGGAGCGACATACATAGCAACCCCCATAGAAGTCGGTTTGGCGTGGTCGAAGCAAAGCAGCGCCAAAGACATCAAAGGTCGGAGTCGGAGTCACTGACGGCGTCGGCGACGCCAGTGATGCTGAAGGGACCAGCATTGCGGCTCTTGATGATCAACCGGCTTGGCGTACAAACGATGGTTCCCTTCTTCAACACCGTCGACGCGAAAGACGCGTGGAAAAGAAAAAACGAAGCTTGACAGAAAACGAGAGGGGCTTGAACGGTCCTGCGGCGGGAACCACAAACACATGTCCTTCATTTTCCTCTTGTTATCCGGGGTGTGTCGAGCTGGGCAAGGGTTGCGATCAGGGTCCATGGGATCATTGGGCGCTGAGCAAGGCTCAGACCCCAATAATTTGACTGAATCTAGACGGCGCTGTGCATAACACGGCGTCGCGAACAGCCTCTGATAGGTGTGATGGCTGCAGGCCAGCACTTATTGGGGTGCGGCTGAAGGTTACGCCGATGCCCCTGACAGGTGAGCTGGCCGAGATTATGGGGTTTCACAAGCTCCTGAGAATGAAGTTGCTCCGTCTTATCACGCCGTCTCTGGGGATCATGATGGGGTTTTCAAAAGTCGATGTGGATAGCTTCATTGAAGAATTGGGCTGTGAGTTACAGCAGCCCTCCAGCCTTGGCGGGATCTGTCTTGAGGTCGATCGAAGGTGAACAAGAGAAGAGGTAAGAAACCGACACTTGCTTTCTTGGAAAACTTGGACCAAAATGAGTACTGGAGTTTGATAGCTATATGATTTCACTAGACACATGATGAAAGCCGTAAGTATTACCTATTCTTGCTGTCGGCATGGTATAAGAAAAAAAAAAAAGAAAAAAAAGGCTTTTGCTTGAATCGAGGTCGAAGTTGGGATTTGAAACTGGAGAAATTGACAAAGACAAAATGCGGAACGAGTGTGAAAATAGATGGCAGGGGTCGCCGCTCATTCCCGTCATACCCGCTTTTGGACAACCACAACTCCTCAACACCATGTCCCCGTCTCGGTTCAGGGTGCGATGTTTCTTTATCCTGTTCAACCGTGAGCCATTTCGTGGCTCAGATTCGATAAAGTGGCGGTTGGAAGGTGGGATTGAGCACAACTATTCCTCTGCATCTGTCACTCGCTCAACAGCTCTCTCACTTCCTTAGATAAGTCCAAGAAACCCCATGGTCAAAGCTGACATCATGGAAATCGAGTCTCTCACAGCCCGAACCTCCAGCCCCTCAAACCACCACCTCTGATCCTTCCAATAGCTCCTCTCTCACCTGAGTCTCTTGACTTTCAATATCACCCGGAGCTCACAGCACCCCGCCGATACCCGCCAAGCGTCTTGGTCGGGATGCAGCCCGCACGGTTAAATGGGGATAAATAGGGAATGGGACCAGGAACTCCTTCTTTCCGACATCCACGCGATCCATATGACCCAGCGCGGCGGAGAGCATTTGGAGAAGAACTGTGATGGCACGCCCACCCCGTGCTTCTACCCGGGCGGGCAAGTTGTGTGCTCCGGATGTGTATATATCTGAGGTAGTTCCTCCGTCACATCCTCCCTTCTGTTTGATTTCATTATTTTTCATACCATCTTCACCCCCCCCTCCCCGCCCCCCCCCATCTTCACCAAACAAAGTCAAGCCAACTTGCCCCTCCCCCGCAAGATCTA